TTTATGGGTTATCTCGTCAACCGTTCATCGAAAAAATGGCTAGAGAATAGAAGTTACGTCGATTTGGATGACTTGATGGCCGATGTCAAGGCGTGGATCGCGCGCAAGGATCAAAACTTCTTCGCTTTTGGTATCCGACTAACTAATTAATGGGAAGCAGTGCTTGACGTAGATGTTAAATAAGATCCGGAGTAATTATTTGAATATGTTTTTGCTTAGTATTTCTATAATTTCTCTAACTAAAATTTACTGAAAAAAAAATCCGCAATAATTATGCATCAACCTAATATATAAAGGCAGGTAAAATGCAGGAAAATGGAAAATATCAAAATGTTTGTCCGTATTTGACCGTGTTTGACCACCAGGAAATCATGTGTACTTCCACTAGATCACCTAATGAACGACCGCTGAAAAGTTACTGAGATCACGGAATGACTGCGCCACCTTCCAATCTTTCTCGAAGTAGTAAAGCCTAATTTTGCGGATATGCAGATGGTTCTTTGAGAATATTCTTGTAGAGAAAATCGAGTTGATCATTTCTAGAAAAAACCCGAACTCAACATTCAAGTTCTATCGAGAGAAAAAAAGCCGCGAAAAATCCGCAATAATTATGCATCAACCTAATAATATTTGGGGCAAACCAATGGTCCCAAATTTGTTCCAAAACCAATGGGCAAATGGGGTTCTTCTAAACAGTAGTCCTCCATCATAGCGGTTATCTCCTAGGCTAATCCCTATCCATTCAAAAATGGCTATTCCTTAGGATTCCCCTACTAATGATAGCTCTGGAACCAACAAAAGACATTAATCACTTTGCTTACTTGGATACTTGCACAAAAATCTTCCACACTGAAGTCTGCATCATTTCTATGCTTTCTGGCCAGGTTCAAATAGGCGGATTTCAACTGCGAGAAATTCATGTCTGCCCCAGAAGTGCATGGGCCAGCAGTGCTATATCGTAAGTGACCATCATCAGAACACCTAAACAGCTCCATAAAGACAGAGGCACTTTGATACCCACAGCGATTAGAATAGGTTCGGATATATATGGAGATGGGCATTACTCCAATTAAAACAGATACACGAAAACTGAGATTACATGTGTTTTTCTATGTTACTTATAACTAGCACTGTTTATGAAGCAATGTCGAAAAAGAGTTTTTACCGACTCGCCAATTGCTCCACAGCTGCACCTGCATGAAGTTTGCGGAATTCTTCCATTTGGTTTATTTCTAACTCCCTCGCTATTTTATCCAAGCACTCGCCAGGGCTCCCAGTAATACTTTGTCCTGGAAATTCTCAACGTCAAAAGATCAATTCAATTGAGAATTCAAGTGAGCACTAATAAACGATTAACTATCAAATAGCAGAACTTTAAATCTGAAAGCGAGGCTCTCAGAATTGATGTTTTTAGGGGGGTGTTTTACGAGCGAAAACAGCAAAGATTACCGTATAAAACAAAGTCGTCAGCAGAACGCGACAGCACTATCAAAGCGTGCCCACCAGACATCAACATAGACAAAAAGGGAAATCTCAAGCTCTCCGAGACGAGTAAACCAGATAAAGCATGAGCACGCATGTGGTGTATGGATATGAAGTCCTTTCGATATTGCCTGAAGGGTAACAAAATCATGAATAAAAGTAAAAATAGAAAGGTCGCATCCATTCACCAGTTCCTATATTTCTCTAAAGTAACCGCAGTGATTTGGCGTGTCAATTTCCGTTCGATTTGGGAGCTTGTCTATCTAACCGTTTGCGAGGATTCCCGTTATGTCGCAAACCGGGGAAGTAATAGAGAAACTTAAACGGAAGACTGGTGTGATAGCAGCGATGCCGTTAGGTTATCAATGGATTCCGACGAACAAACTAAAGCCCGATACTGTCGACCGACACTTATGGTCCCTAACAACTGTCTGCCGTAGCGGCAATGCGCGTTAAGAAAAAAAGCATTATAACATGACCCTGCTTGTGGTCATAACCATAAAAAGGTGTTACATCGCCTGGTTCGCTACTTCTAAGCGGTGTTTGACAGAGCACTTTTCGCGTCCGAGGGTGACCCTGGCAAAGTTATAGAGAATAATCAAAAGATCCAAAAGGTAGGATAGCTAGGTGACAGGTACAGTAGCGCTCAAAAGTATTCGGCCAAATACTTCTTCACTCATACTTTGCAGTCATAATTCCTTTCCTACAGGGTCTAATTAAGCGAAATTTCAATATGTGTAGCATTGGTGTGGTGTGAATATCTACCTCTATTAACCTGCATTTTGATCATGTTCGAAATGTCCCAAAGAGCTTGAAATCAAAACCAACTGAGAATAGGGACATTGGTGCTCCTAGATTTCTTTCCTTTGTCATGTCCAAAGTGTACGAGCGCTAATGCGGAACACAGAAGAGTAGAACAACGCAAATAAGGTGCGAATAACTGCAGACGTCACAACTTGCTTTAAGCATAGTCTACAAACGCCTTCCCCCTAGTTATGTGGACACTGCTGCTTTGCAGTCAAATAGTGTTGGATAGTGAAATAGTGAAATATGCTTCAGTTAAACGTATCAAAATTTCATGCGATTGCTCCACTGGGAAAAAGGCTACGGCAAGTTAAAGTTGGCCGAATACTTTTGAGCGCTTCTGTATATAGAACGCGCACCGAACCATTGTTCCCATTGGGTGATTCCTCTCTTTTTCTATCTGCAATCTTATCTATGCCGAGTTGATGTTGCCGTCATCAAGCGCTTCGTAAATTACCTCGAACAACATTCTACCGCAAGACATTCCTATGAGCGATTGAATCTCCTTCAACAGTCTTCACTGGTAGTCTACCGCATTATAGGGCACAGGGCACAACTCGTCGATCTCTTCACCTTATCGTTAAACCTGGAGCGATTTTCTCGCCGAACAGTCACACTCAAAGGTTTTATGAGGTAATGACGGGACCGGGAACTGATCAGCTGACCCGATATTCCTTTGTGTACCAAACCTCACAATAAACGGCGTTTCTCTCACATTAGTTTTGAATTGGTTGGGTTGTGACAACATTACTTACTTCACATTTGGGCTGCAATTCATAAACACGTCTAAAGGTCTCAGCCTGGAAAATTTCTGCGTAATCCTCCACACTGACACTTCCCCCGAGTTCCCGGCAATACAATCCATCGTTCATCTTTACATTCCCAAATAAAGTAACTGCTGATTCAATCATCATCATCTTCTTCTTCACTGTCGTTCTACGTCCCTACCTCTTTGATAACCTTTCCATCCACAACACGCGACATTGTTTCGTTTAGCCTCAACTCAGTCATAAAACCCGAAATGTCGGAACATTAAGAAAACGAAAGAGATGTGAGGTAAGTATCTGTCTAAGGGCCTTGAACCAAAAAAACGTAGGGAAAAATTTTATTCGAGTTAGAATCCCACCCATTACTAGCAGGTTATTCTATATATAAAAGTGTTAACTAAAATGAAAGTCAGCGAAATCATACCTTGACAGGGTTAATCCCAGCCGAATACCCTCCTTTAGAGCAATGACCAGTCCTGGCCTGGTCGTTACAGCGATTGCATCCACATCCGAAACACTCATGCCAGCTTCGTCCATGCATTCGTTCAAGAGACGAGGGAGGTGTTCCTTGTGCTAAAGTTGAATATAACAGCACTCGGGAAGGTCACTAATAAGGATTTGAAACATAAAAGCACGCATGGCAATGTCCAGTTAGACAGTGGCCTTCGAAGTGAGTTCAAAGCAGTCACCCACCTGTAGAGCAACTTCTCTCGGAGAAATTCCACCCAACCTCCGCTGTGTTTCTCGATCAGTATACTGCCTGGACGACAACACTGACTTATCA